AAAAAAAAAAAAAAAAAAAAAAAAAAAAAAAAGAAAGAAAAAAAAAAGAAAGCAAAGACAGGCTGGAAATGAAGAAAAGCAAGGAACAGTTCTAGGGAGAAAAATCTAATCTATGAGATTCAAAATACAATCCAAAATGAAAATGCCCTAAGAAATGCTGCTGCAGAGTATGTTGTATGATCTGGAATAAAGTGAAGGAGAAGGAGCCAGGGAAGTTATGGGACAGAAAGGAGTGTTTGGGGGGAGTGCACAGACGGAAAAGGCCCATAACAGAGAAGAGCGCTGTCCCTTCGCTAAACTTAGCTTCCCACCCTAAGAAACTGCACCCGAAGAAGAAGCTAAACCCAAAGCAAGAAAGAAGGACATAATATAATATAATGAGCTGAGCAGAAATCAATGGAATGAAACAGTGGTTCTTCAGAAGGAGCAACAGAATCGACAAAGGGTCAATTAGATGGGCCAAGAAAACCATGAAAGAAGACGCGATGACCGGGATGACTGAGGAGGCAACACAACTTTCCTTACAGACACGTACACCTTCAGAAGAGAAGGCATGTGAGCATGCCACACCATGGTCCTCTTTGGAGTATGGCTTTGTTATCTGGTTCCCCTGTTCTAGTTTTATGTCTGTTGCTGTGATAGAATATCCTGACAAAAAGCAACACAGGGAAGAAAGGGTTTATTTGGCTACAGTTCCAGGTTACACTCCATCACTGCAGGGAAGTCAAGGCAGAAATGAAAGCTTCACATCCATGGTCAAGATCAGAGAGAGAAATGCTTAATCTTAAATATCTGAAATCTTTGCTTGCTGGTTCTGCCTAGCTAGCTTTTTTCTACTCTTACACGATCCAGAGCCAAGCCATGATGCCAAGCCATGGTGGCACTTGTATTCAGGGTGGGTCTTCCTATCTCAGTTAGCAGTCAACATAATCTCCCAAAGACATTCCCACAGGCCAACCTGACCTAGAGAGTCTCCAACTGAGACTCTGTTTTCAAGTGTTTAATACCAGCACTTGG